GACAGACAGACAGACAGACCATTACATTGCATTGCATTGCACTGCACTGCACTACACTACATTACAGTACAAAACAAAACAATACAAAACAATACAATACAATTACAATACAATACATACATTACTACATACCTACTTACCTGCCTGCCTACATACATACATACATACATGCATACCATAGCATGACATAGCATGACATAGCATAACATAGCATAGCATAACATACATACCATACCAGACCACACCATACCATACCATACTATACCATACTGTACCAAACCATTGCATTGCATTACATTACATTCATTACATTACATACATACTTTGGTGAAGTCGCTCCCTCTTCCCTGCCCAGTCTGACAGCAATGCATTTTCCACTCTCAGGCATTGCAAGTCATCAACGAACACCGGCCAGGATCGTGATCACGACCAAAGCTCTCTTCAACCCAATGGGTGCAAAGGAGAAGTCCCAGAGCCTTATGCAGCGGTGTCTCGGTATATGTTCTGAACATCTTAGGAAGCGTTGCAGCTGTCATGAGGAGGCGTCCAGGTTTTCGATATCGATTGACCGAAGATGGTGCAGCCCATCGACCTCTGGCTTGGATGGCCTCAAAGCTCCGATATTCATTGATCAGATCGAAGGACGGTCCGGAATGTCGGACGACATGTGGCGTGAACAGACCAGTCTTCAATCCAACTGCTTTTGAGAAATCTCGGAACAGCTGCTCGTATTGAGCGAGAGTCAAGTCAAAAACTTTTGTATCTTGCTGTTTGACCTGGCGACCAATTGCACGTAGCAGCTTGTTTGCCCAACTTCGATGTGGGCTGTCAGCTAATACCACATCATCTGAGGATCCAACTTTCGTCACCTCACCAAACTCAGAGTTCCCTAAGAGAACCCCCCAAGGTGAGTTGAAGGCTGCGACCGAGGGGACAATGTCACGTCCTCTCAGTTCAAGAATCTCAGATGGACGAGTGTACAAGTCATACTGTAGTAAAACTGCACAAGCCGCATCAAAACAATGCAAATCAACACAATACTCTGCAACATGATAAATCACTTGCGGAACCATGCCAACACGTGATCCTCCAGCCCTTGAGCCTTTCCAAGCTGTCAGGGCTGCCCGACTGAGCGGGAACATGTCTCGTTCAGCTCTGTCCGGAATGGCCCGGAGTGTCAAATAACCAAACAGTGTATACGAAGCTGTTGTCATGGCTGCACTGTCTTCAAAAAACTGATCGAAGTAAATGGCCATGGCCTTGTCTGCTTGCCGTTCTGTCTGGGTCTTGCGCTTGGTTGCACGACTCCACTCCAAAAAATCATCAACGTGTTCAGCATATCTGAGTATTGTGTCCGGTCTCACTCGCTTGACTCTGAGAGCTCTCTCAGGCGGGCATTTCTCAAGGATCCTGTTGTACCGCTCGGTCTTGGGGATCGAGCTTAGTCTTGTTCTTCTTGAGATACAGCCACGCTTGTTTGGGCTCTCGGCCAAGGGCAACAAAGTCGAAGAACTGGTCGGGCCCCCCCTTGCTTTGCGAGGAGTTCCAGCTTGGTTTCGTCCGGCGGATTGTCCCCTGCCGAGACGGCAGCCTTCCTTTGGCGACCGGTTCCGCTCGTTTTGCTCTTCGGTGTATAACACCTGATCGAAGCTGACCAATGGTCTTGGATGTGTTGGTCAGTTTCCCCATGGCTTGAGCAGTGACCGGCGTGTACCAAAAGCTTTGCGTAAAGTCTACAAAAACTGTCGGGATATGCTCCTGCAAGACTAGTCCTGTTTTTGTAAACAAACTTGCCGCCAGGAAACTCAACTCTCTGTTGCCCTTTGAGCCACACACTATGTCGTCGGTGACAACAATGTCGTTCAAGCGCTCGAAGGCACGATGCTGAAGTGAAAATCTTTGTGTCTTTTTTGTATTGTTCGCCATAACTGCACATATCAAAGTTCACCTCAAACAAAGGCCCAGTGTGCATCGCTTTGACAAGTGGCTCAAATGTAAACAAGCGTGATGACTTCGGATTCTCTAGAGCCCAGGGTATCCCGTTTTTGTTGCGTGCCAAAATCACTTCGCATGTAAACAACGCCAACTCGACCCCCTCTGCCTCTCTTGCAAGATTCCGAAGAGTATTTCTAACCCCATGTCTAGCCC